CGAGCTTGCAGATGCACATCAAGCACCAGCACTCGGAAGTCAACCAGTCCGCTCGCCTAGCTTTTCATCGTGATCTTCATGCATTGCATGGTCTTCCAATCTGTCGATTTTGCCAGGCTCGACTTCATGACTGGCGTTCCCTTGAGAAGCACATCACAGAAGGCACGTGTCCTAAAGTGAAGGTTTTTGTTTCCCAGGGCTTGGATGCGGAAGCCATGCTGCGACGAGTACGTGATGAAGAGCAACTGCATGCGCCGCCTGTTCCACACAAGGCTACGCCACAGTCGCAGCTCGAGCAGGAAATTGGCGAGGCCCTGAAGTTTGAGCCGTCAACCCTCAACTCGTGTGGTGATAAACTTTTGATCCTGGCGACGCGGTGTGCTCTCTGCAGGCAGCTCATTCCGGACAGCTCGAAAATCAAGATACACTGGCAGCGCACTCATGCACCGGAGTGGAAGATGCACTCAGCGACTGCGATCTCAGGATCTAAGAGCTTGTGCTCGGCGTTTCGTACTCCATGTCGATTTTGCGGAAGCCAGGCCAAAAATTCCAGGGATCACTCAGCGAAATGTTCGTCGCTGTTTCAGCTTTTGGCAGTGCGAGCAATGCGCAGCACGGGATCAACAGCGCCAATGCCCGCAAAGGGCCCTGCGCTCAAGCAGTCGGAGCACTCACCACTGTATGCTCAGTTTGATATCACCAAAACCAGTTTGGGGAAATACCTGCGCAAGGCTGGGGACCAGGACACAGGAAATGATACTTCAAAGGCATCGACAACAGGGATTTCCTCCTCACCCAAGCCGACAACTACTGCTGCTAGGTCCGCTGAGCTGCTTGCTCCACCGGCTTTGGCTCCGCTACCGCAGAGTTGGCTACAAAGTCTTGTCCTTGGCAATCCCCACAATCATTGCTACATGAACGCATCGATGTACGCGGTTTTGCATGTGCTGCAGGAATGCCCCTCTCTCGCATCGCGGGCTCTGCAGTCCATACGAGGTGTATGCCAAGGCTCTGTTCGAAGAGGTGGTCATGTTGTACTCTCGGCGCAGCTAATCGTCCGATCCATCCTAAGGACCTGGACCTTTGATCGTCGACAACATGATGCCGCCGAATTCACAGCTGCGCTGCTTTATGGTCTCGGTCTTAGCCTTGCGCAGTGGGAGGCTCGATATCCGGATCAAGAAGGGGTTCAAGTTCTCCACACCGGAGGTGCGCCAGTTTCTCTTCGGATGCGGGCGACTTCGTGTGGGCTCCAGGATCTTATTGATGATTGGCATCGACAGGTCTATATGCATGCATTTGTCGTGCAGGATGGTCCGGTGCTTCTTCATCTTGCTCGCAATGCGGATGCCTCCAAGAATGAGGCCCTCATCAGCATCGCCTCGCCTGTCTGGCTCCCGATCTTTGTTGAAGGGATTCTTGCTCGATGGCACTCGTATCAGGTTCGAGCTCTTGTTGAACATCATGGAGACAGTGTGGTGTCTGGTCACTATCGTTCGGTCCTCAAATTTGCCTCTGGTTGGATGCATACTGATGACGGGGTTGCGCCCACTCCGGTCCTATGGTCCCAAGCACGTGAACAGCATATGTATCTTGTCTGGCTGGTACCGGCTCAATCTTTCGAGAGCCGGCCAAGCTGGGAATAGCTGCCCTCCCTCCGGCTGCCCGCCCACTGTCGTTTTCCAGGGCGATGGGTTCCGACGAGCCAATGAAGTCCATTGAAGGCTCAGAGGAATGGAATTTCTACCAGCAATACCGCCCAGCTGGTTTTCAGTTGGCATCGGGGCCTCCCTCGGAAGTCTCCACAGCTGCCACTGCTGAGGAGCGAGAAGCCAAGGCTGCCAAACTTGAAAAGGGTGGTCGAGGAAAAGGATCTTAAGGAAATCCTGGTAGCTCTGGTGATGGTGCAGGCCAGTCCAACAAACGGCAGGGCCAATGGGGCAATGGTGGAGGTGGTCGCCAGAACTGGGCCTGGCCGGGGAACTGGAAGGACAGTGGTTCCTCGGGCGATGGAGCGGATCTGCAAGAGATGCAGAAGCTGCTGACAATGATGCAGAAGCTGGCCCTGCGTCACGAAGACAGCATCAACCTTCTGAAGCTGGAGTATAGATTTGTGGCCCACATGAAGCTTAATGTTCCGGCCAGTGTGGTGCACATGCTGTATGTGGCGGCGGATGGATGGCGCAAAGTGAAGGCGCAGGAGCCGCAAAAGCTGGATCGACCGATGCGGACATCGCTTTTCGTGTGCCTCTGGGCCGAGCTGAAGTCGCGGATCCAGGCCCTGGATGGAACCCCGGGGGACGTTGACAAGCTTGCCGAGCTGGGTTGGCTTGTGAAAGGCCCTCCCCTCACATGGCATTTCCTGAAGTGGGACTCGGCGGCCCAGCGCAGCATTATCGATACCAACAAGCCTCCTCTGACCAACGCGGAGGTTTTGGAGCACATCGACACGATCCTCGCCAATGCGGTCACCACCAACAGCCTGGCAAGGTTCCATCCGACGCGCCCCCTGGGAGACACTATGCAGGGCGAGAGCATTGTGTTCCTCATTCAGGTGGGGAACTTTGGAGATGCGAGCTTGAGTATTCGTACCAGCCTGAAAGCCCTGAGCTACAATGCTGTTCTCCAGCTTGTGGCCACCCAGCTGAAAGAGGACAGGGTGTCGAGATCTACGCTGGCCAACAACATCGCCGCCTCCATCAAGGGATGAACCCAGATGGCACAGAGGCCTGGTCCTCTGAGTGGCTCTCTTCCTGATTTTGACTTGCACGGCCCACGACGCAATCTTCACCTGGACGCCTGCTTGGCAGTTCGCTGCGGGGGCGCTCCTCTCGAAGCCGGTATTTTGCGTAGGCCAGCTCTTGATGTCTCAAGGTCGCTCAGTGCGATGGAGTGGCATGCGCATCTACATGGTTTGAGAGCCTAAGCTGTCGTTGCTGAGGTGATGTGTTTCTTCGAAGACTGGTTGTGCAGCCTCGCAATCCAACGTGGTCCTCGGTCAACCACTCGGCTATGGCTCTGAATCTGATGCTGCGATCTTTTTGCTTACTCTGTGGTGAAGCTGCTGGCTTGCTGTCTGCTGCTGTGCATCCAGACATGAAGTTGGATGCTCAAGGGTTGCCTCAGCAGGGTGGTGCAGCGTCATCCAGCATGCCTCCGCTACGGAAGAAGCAGCGCTACAGCCTCTCGAGCCCGGATAGGCGCTGCCAAGGCTCTGATTATGCGGTGGCCGAGGAGACTGAGCCAGAGTCTGATTCAGAGGAGGTTGTTTACCAGGGTGTTTCCCAGATGAGTGGCACGGGGCCCAGAGGATCAACGCCTCTGATGGTGAATGGGGTTTTCATGGTTGGAGCACAGCCCCCCA